GACTACTGCTTCCTTAATTTTTTTAAATCTCTCATATGAATAGGTTGTCTGATATATCCTATATATTCTTCAGGATGTGTATCGTCTGCTGGCTTCTTACGGATGGTGATAGGATAAGCCATTTTATAAGAGCCACCTGGCAATGTTATTACTTGTATGACTCTGCCCTTCTGTTTATTGGTTCCTTTATTATCCTTAATGAGAGACTCCTCCAGAGCTTGAAATCAACTAACTACTGCCTGTTGCAGTGTTTGAACTTCCTCTGTTGTGAAGAATTCTAGTGATTTAATGGAATCATACGATCTTTTATGTTCATCACAAACATATGATCCACAGACTTTATTCTATCAGTTAGTGATGATATTTCCTCCTTAGAAATTATCTAAATGGGGCTGGAGAGATGGCTCAGAGGTTAAGAGCACTGCTTGCTTTTCCAGAGGTCCTGAGTTCAATTCCCAGCAACCACATGGTGGCTCACAACCATCCATTATGAGATCTGGTGCCCTCTTCTGGCCTGCAGGGATATGTGCAGACAGAGCACTGTATACATAATAAATAAATAAATCCTTAAAAAAAAAAAAAAGAAATTATCTAAATGGCATTAAGATTGCCCTGAAGAGTTACTGTTTTATCCATTAAATATTCATATGCATTATCAGTAGAATTAAATCTGGTTTTTCAGTTATTATTAATGGACTGAAGTTCTTGTGGTAAATTATCAGATTCCAAAGAAAGAATCTATTTAAATCCTGTATCAGTCTCATTAATGTCTCATTTTTGCTGTTATTATTAAGCCTATTTTTCAATGATATGAGATGAATCATGCTATTTGCTATTGTGGTGAAGATTATATATGTCCCAGGAAGGCTGTATATGTCCTGTAATATTTCATTCATAGTACAAACAAAAAAGTTTTCAAATATCCAAGTGGTGAAATTGTCTGCAATTTTTGAGAAATATTCAAAATTTGTAAAGAAAAATTCTATTAATTTATTTATTAATCAGTTTAAAGTGTAAAATTATCAAGTAATTTACTTCAGAAAAAAATCCTCAGATTGTCCTATGTGTCCAGATGTTCCAGGTGTAATTAACCAGGTTAGGCAAATGTCTGGTTCATTCAATGATTTTTGGATGTAGTATCATTGCTTGGCCAGTAGGAGTTGCAGGTATAGTACCAAAACAGGTCTGGTGTGAGCTGACTCAGGCTCCCTGAATGGGCTCCTGTGAATTAAGCACTCACTTGCTGCAGTTGTGTGTGAAGATTTGAAGTCACATGATGTCTCTGTGTGTGCTGTTTACTCAGTCCTGTGGATCATTTTTTCATTCATGATGACCTTTAGTCATCAGTTTTCTGTTGTTGGTAGCAAAAATTGTTAGTCATCTTATTGGACTTTTGTTGAATCTATAGCTCAATTTGCATACTGAAATAATATTGAGTCTTCCTGTCCATAATTGTGGAATTTCTTTCCTTTTTTCAAGTTCCTTGATTCTTTTAATTTACAAATTTGTAGTTTTGGCTACAGATATTTGTCATATTTCTATGTATTTCTGGTTGTTTAATCCCTGGTGACAGAGATATGTGGGTATTGTCTTTCTTTCTTTCTTTCTTTCTTTCTTTCTTTCTTTCTTTCTTTCTTTCTTTCTTTCTTTCTTTCTCTCTCTCTCTCTTTCTTTTTTTTTGAGACAGGGCTTCCCTATGTAGCCCTGGCTGTTCTATAACTCACTCTGTAGACCAGGCTGGCCTTGAATTCACAGAGATCTACCTGCCTCTGCCTCCTGAGTTCTGGGATTAAAGGTGTGCCACCACCACCACCACCACCACCACCACCACCACCACCACCACCACCACCACCACCACCACCTGGCTGAGGGGTTGTGTTTTTAATTTACTGAATTTATTTATTTCATGTGCATTAGTGGTTTGTTTGCATATATGTGTGTTCACCATATGTGTGTTTGGTGCCCACAGAAGATAGAAGGAGGCATCAGATTCCTGTAACAGAATCTAGGGATGCTTGTGTGCCATCATGTTAGAGTTGGGAACAAAACTAAAGACTCCTACAAGAGCAACAAGTAGTCTTAACTGCTGAGTCATCTTTACAGTCCTAAATGTGAGAGATTTTTAAAACCTTATGTGTGTGCATGCACATGTACACTCTGAAAAGTGAGTGCTGGGATTAAAGATGTGTACCACCACTGTCCAGTGTAATCATTGTTGTGAGATTCCATCATCATTTTGGAGACTTCAGAGATTGCGTTAGGTCAGATTATTCCTTTTCTTGATGACTTTTTTTCTGGGTAGTTCTCTCTTCTTTGGATACTTATTTGTCCAAAGGTCTTTAAATTCCTCAAGATGGTTGTTTTTATTTTCCTGAAAAGACAAAAACAAAACTCTGCAACCCTAACTTTGGGGAGTTTCCCTTTTGGCAAGTTATATCTGATCAAATGAGAAGCATTTCTTAGCCTTATAAGTTAATTTTGATTGAGTGGTCATGCTGTTTGTTGAACTATCACCTCTTCTAATCAAGAGATCTTTCTTGTTCAAATCTTATTTTCATCAATTTTGGTTTATGGTTTCTCCTGAAATTTTTGTTTTATTTTCTAAAGCTGTTCTATCATCCAGAGAAGTATGCTTTTTTACAATAGGCATTAGATCCTTTAATTGCTGTGGGAAGGAGTTTCCTCCATGGTGAATGAATGAACCACATTTGACCTGGGGGTCTGTGAGAGGCACCCCCAAGGCATTTCTCAGTGGCAAAGGGTTGCCTTCTCTGTCCCTTGTTGATCTGCATTTGTTGGTCCAATGTTGGCCTTTGCCACACCTTCTGCATACTCCAGCAGTGAGGGGTGTTCTTTTTGGATTATTCTTGGGAAAAAAAAAACATTGTTTCTAGGAATGCCTTGCCTATAATCCCTTTTTAGGTGACCTTGTTTACCACAAATAAAACACCTGGCATTTTGATTTTACTTCAAGCCTCTGGAAATCACCTCTCCTATCCAAGCATCATCGTGGTTATGAGATTCAATATTGACACTATCTCAGATCCATTCCTCTATGGGTGCTGTTCTTGCCTTTAAAGGCCCAATTAACCTTTTGTATTGTACATCAGCATTTTCAAAAGCCAGAGATTCAATTATTATTTGTCTAGTTTCTGAATTTGCTATCATTCTATTTACGGCTGAAGTCAACCTTTGTAAGAAATCAGTGAAGGTTTCTTTTGGGCCCTGTATAACTTTAGTAAATGACTCAGTTCTCTTTCCAACTTTTTCAACTCTGTCCTAAGCATTCAAAACTGCTGCATGGCATAGAGACAGGGTGTGGTCATCCTGTCTTATAGAGACTGCCTTTGTACATCAGCATAATCTCCCACTCCAAGAAGTTGGTCTTGGGAAATTTTTTTTTTAAAGATTTATTTATTTACTATGTATACAGTGCTGTGTCTACATGGCCAGAAGAGGGCATCAGATCTCATTACAGATGGTTGTGAGCCACCATGTGGTTGCTGGGAATTGAACTCAGAACCTCTGGAACAACAGCCAGTGCTCTTAACCTCTGAGCCATCTCTCCAGCCCAGTCTTGGGGAATTTCAACACCTCTAGCCCTACTTCATTGTTCAATGGTCCTAGCCTCACCTTTCCACCAGGTCCTCCACTCTAATTGAGGACCAGGCTCCATTACTGCTCTCCAGTCTTGTGGGATAATTCTAAGTTGACCATGAGTTTAACATCTGCTTCACAAAGGGTGAATGTATACCATATGAGACTATTGCTTCCTTAAATCTCCTTAAATCTAACATTTCCACAGAGTCCACTCAGCTCTTACACAGCCTTGGGGTTATCTGTCATTTGGCTGTTCCTGTAAGGTGACTGGATAAATTAAGGTTGGTTGGTTGAAAACGTTGGACTATTCCTCTCTAATTTTATAATGTAATGATGAGGTTGGTTTTCCTTTAAATTCCTCTGTCTGGGTTGGAATAGCTCTATGATCTGTTTTAATAAGTTTTTCTAAGGCCTGTATCTCGGTACTCCTATCAAACATCTTCTAGAGATAAACCAGGAATTATCAAACAGATAAGAATTTTCAAAATGATAATAAACGTTATGTCAATCCCAGTTGATTATCCCTTCATTAAATTGTTCCATTTTTGGAACATTTTTGGAACCATGCATTGCATAATCATACAGAGACCTAACTCTCTCCATTGTAATATAGTCTTCAATTTTTAAAAAAAGATTTATTTATTTATTATGTATACAGTATTCTGCTGCATGTGTCCCTGCAGGCCAGAAGGGGGCGCCAGATCTCACTACAGATGGTTGTGAGCCACCATGTGGTTGCTGGGAATTGAACTCAGGACCTCTGGAAGAGCAGTCGTTGCTCTTAATCACTGAACCATCTCTCCATTGCCCAGTTTTTGATTTTTTAACATGGGAAAAAACTCTTCTTTTTAAACTAATTCCCCCCTTTAGGAATTCCTGGTTGTCTCACCAAATCTGCTGCTGCTGCTGGTGAAGATGACAGTGAAGCATGAGGCTGACTGTGTAGAGCAGTAGCCCGAGCCGGTGTCAAGGCAGCTACCTAGTGTGGCAGCAGCCTGGGGAGAGGGCCCGGGGAAAGCCCATAACCCACTGGGAGAGAAGAAGCCCAAGAGCCAGCCATCTGTATGGGGGAACATGTGAAAGAGGCTAACTCCGGTGGTGTCTGGAGCATAAGCGCCTGTGGAGTTTGTTGCAGAGAGGCTGCAACAGAAAAATCCCAAACTCGCTCCGGGGCTTGGGGGGGGGGGGAAACGTAGCCAGAGGGCAGTGACTCAGGCAAGACCCCCAGCGTCTAGCTCCAATGTATACTGGTGGCTGCAAAGCCATGGGCAAACAGCTTTTTCATGAATTCATGGCCCAAAGGTTGGACTCCAGATGAAGCACGATCCTAATTAGTCTTATTAAATGAAAACCTGGAGTCTGCTCCAGACACTCAGCCTCCTCACCGGCCTTCCCACATGGTGGGCTCTGTCCTGCCCCAGGGCCTTTGCACATGGTGTTTGCAGTAGAGAATTGCACTGTCCAGCTGTCCCCAAGGCTCCCTTCCTCACAGTCTCTGCTTGTTACCGACGACATCTCCCCAGCCCACCTTATTGAAAATCGTACCCTCGTTTTCAGCTCCCTTCATTTCCACCACAGAGCTCCCCCACTCAAAGGCATGCCCCTGAGGGCAGGCTCGGGGGAAGGTGCCAAGCTCAGGGTGGATGAATACCGGATGGATGACTGGCCCATGGTGAGGAGTGAATGAATGAATGAGTGAATGAATGAATGGCCTGGAACAGGGTCTGCTGTGGAGCAGGCACCGGGCTAACAACACACCTTGAGTGAGTGGGTGAGAGAACAGAATGGGGCCTGGCACACAGCATGAACGCTCATTCAGAGTGGCACACAGTAGGTGCTCAGTGTATGTGGAGAGCAGAGTCATGGCTGCCAGAAACTAGGTGGTGCGTGGCTCTCCAGCTCTGTCCTGCTCCGTCCAGTCCCAACCACTTCTACCCGCAGCCCCTGGAAGCAGAGGCCAGCTCAGTGCACAGCCTGGAGAGGCAGGTAGGTGGGGAGGGCCGGTGCTTGGCAGGGTCCAGGGTCCTCGGATTGCAGGGTCCAGGGCCCTCGGGTCCGGGGTCGTCAGGTCCTTAAGTGCTGATGTCGACCTCTGCAGGTGCAGGAGCTGCAGCAGCTGCTGGCGGAGAAGCAGGAGGAGAAGGAGAGCCTGGGCCGGGAGGTGGAGAGTCTGCAGAGCCGCCTGTCCCTGCTGGAGGTGAGCGGGAGCCCGGGAGGGCGGGGCCAGAGGGGCTGGGGTGCTGCTGAGTGGACAGGGCAAGGGTCTGGGTTCGCAGGGGTCTGGGGGCGGGGGCGGGACCAGAGGCTGCGTGGTGGTGGAGACTTGGTTGGGGGTAGAGGTGTGGGGGAGGGCAGAGACTGGATGGGAGCAGGGCAATCGTTGAAGTGAATGAAGCCAGGGTATGTGTGAGGGGGAGGGGGATGTATAGCGAACAAACAGCCTGCAGGGGCTGGGCCAGCGCACAGAACGGGAAAGAGCCAAGATAGGGCTGCAGGGGAGCAGGTGGAATGATTGAGTGAGGGAGCAGAGAAGGCAAATACACCTTGTCATCAGGATGAATATGTATAGTAGAAAAGCAATTTTTTAAATCCAAAAGCATTAAAGGTCAATCTTCAGGACCTTAGGCTTAGGCAAACCAGGGTGTAGAGCTCGCATTGGCCACGCGGTGGCACTAACATTCCATAAGTCAACCAACAATCTCCATTTACCAGATTGCTTTTTAATTACAAAAGCAGGATAGTTTCAGGGAGAAAAGGGGGGTTCTAGGTGGCCATTCTCACGAAGAGCTTGTAACTGTTCTTTAGAGAGGGGCCATTGAGGTGTCCAGACAGGCTCGTTAGATTTCTGTGTAATTTTAATAGGTGGTATTTTTCCAATGACCCCTATGAAAAACACAATCCACGTTTATGAATTTGTCCCTATGGGAATACAGGGTCAAAATCCCTTGTGAATCTTATTCTAGTAGTTTTCATTTTTGATATCCCATTCTTATCATTGGCCATTAGGCTTGTGAAGGATAGTTAGCATTTGACATGGGAATGTAGATCTCTGAATTAGTTTGCTGTAGAAAGTCTTTCCCCCAAGGACTAATGGGAACATGAGTAACAAAGGTTACAGAACTGCTTTAATGCCTTCTGGGCCTATTTGTTGTAATTTTGTAGCACTTGGTTTAATCTTCTATCAGGGTTGAACATACCTCCATAACAGGCCACCCTGGTGGCCTTCTTCCATGGTTATAATGGAGATATCAGTTCCATAACCAATCCTGTAAAAGTTTTTCCTCTTTTATTTAAGTACAATAATGGCTTATCATTCTCCTTTAGTGTTGTGCTTAAAGGTACAGTTAAAAAAAAAGATTTATTTATTTATTATGTATACAGCATGTATGACAGCAGTCCAGACGAGGGCACCAGATCTCATCACAGATGGTTGTGTGCCACCATGTGGTTGCTGGGAATTGAACTCAGGACCTCTGGAAGAGCAGTCAGTGCTTTTAACCTCTGAGCCATCTCTCCAGCCCTAAAGGTACAGTTTTATCTGAACTACTGAATTCTCCCTCATAAAGCTAAGCACATTGTTCCTTGAAGGAACTATATAAGGCAATAATAATAACTGTACAGTATTCCTCCTGCTCTTATTGACAATCAGTGGGCACTGTAATCATGACAGCATTTTCCCTGTATTAACTTCACTAATGATTCCTGTATGAACTATGATTCCTTTCATGGATAAACTACTGTGACCCAATAAAAGTTCAGTTATTCCTGGTCATACAGGTCCCCGATATCCTGTGTGTAACTTCAAAGTACATCGATGAGGAGAAATGACCGTAACTTTAGGGCAAGAGGATCAATAGCAGCATTTCCTTGTGTACCAGCTTGTAATGAAAGAACAGATTGATTATAATCTAAAGCTGGCACAAATGTTATTGGTTTTTGGTATCAAAGACTATTGGGGTCCAGCCCCTTTGTGGTCTTTCCCCAGAGTTCCAGAAGAGACACTACCAGTGGTGAATTAATTAATCTGAGGGATACTTGAATAATTCTACAATACAGGAACTCTATAGTCCATTCACTTTATTCTCCTGAGTCAGTTCTCTCTCGACACAGCTTGCTTTGTGCTCTCACACTTAGCTCCTTTCTTGCCCGACTCTCTCTACACTTTTGTGCTGTTCTCTCTAAGTTCTATCTCAATTCTCCCATCTGGCTCTTCCCCATCTTGTTCTTCCCCGTCTGGCTCTTCCTCATCTTCCATCTCATTCTTCTAGTTCCTCTCTCTAGTCCTCCCAAGTCTCTGAGGTACACAGTTATATACCCATGTAATAGCAATGCTCTGGCCAAGGCAAGGTCACCAGGCTTGAATTTGACCAGGGTCAAAAGGAGGGGAGACAAGATCCACACAAAGAGCAGTGATTGTCAGCCATCATCTGCAACCCGAAGGGGAAGTGACTGATGGGGAATGAATCAACTGAGGGCTAAATTCCATTAATAGACCTGAGAAAGGGGATTTATGTGCTCAAACTATCTTCTTAGAAGTGGTTAGTTAAAATGTTAGGATTCTATAAGTCATGAGTGAAAACAAAACTGCCATTTATTCCTTTGGAGTGGTATCTCTCTCAGCTTAACTTGGCTGCCCTTTTTCTGTCAGGGTGGGGGAAGTGTAACTAGGTAACTAGGCAACCCGCATCACAGCTGGAGAGGATTTAGTCTGGATAACTAGAAGAATGAGATGGAAGATGAGGAAGAGCCAGATGGGGAAGAATGAGATGAGAAAGACCAAGACGGGGCAGAACTAAGATGAGAGAATAAAAATAGGACTTAGTGGGGACAGCAGATAAAGGTAGAGAGAAATTAGGTAAGAAAGGAGCTAGGCATGAGTTCAAACTGAAGCTGTGTAGATGGGATTTTATCCCAGAGGAATAAAGTAGACGGACAAAAGAGCTTGGTGTACTTAGATTCTTTTCCCAAAATTAATTCTTGCCATCCGTAGCTTCTCTCTGGGCCCCTGGGAAGAAGATTGTTAAGTCTGGTCCTTGATAATTTTTGAGAGCAGCAACCCTTTGCTTCACAGCTGGGAGGTCCTGCAGCCAAACACAGGTCACATTCCAACAGTAGCTCTTGTTAAACAAAAGGGCCCTGGGTTACAGCACAATGAAGCGTCTATGGGAGGGCTTGGCGTGGAAGAGCTAATGAAAATGATGTAAATTTAATCCCAAAGATTATGTTAAAGAGTTGAAACAGGCCATGTGCTCCAGAGAGGATAGGTTTATATTAGAGCACACAAAGTACCACTGATGCTATTTCTCTCAGGGTACACATCTTAAACCTGGAAACCACAGTCAGATGGACAGACCGACACCATTTAGCTAGTTCTTCCATTTTGCCTGAACTAGTGTAACTACAGTGATTTGGTTTCACGAAAATTCAGTTTTTTTTTTTTTTTTTTTAAATTCAGATTCTTGATTGCTTGGTTTGCGAAACCAAGAAATGGCCAGTCAGGATATTTATGGAACATCTAAAATTTGTTACCTCACTACTCATTGCTAATGTCAACTATTGTCAAAGGTGGAAAGCTTTCACCCTCTTTCTTGCCTATCCTTTTCTCTGCTGTGACTACATCTGCTTTACAGTTGGTCAGTGAACTCACTTCTTACACAGGTCCCATTTTATTTGTAAAAAATGCACAACAAAATCTAGAGAACTTGGAGCATATTCATTCACTGGTCTGTTTTCCTTCCCGCAGACCAGTCAAGGTGCAGCCTGGAAATTATTTGCAGGACTGTCTTCCCAGCACTGGGCAGCAGAGGCAGGATTAGGTGTTCAAAGCAATTCTCAATTACATAGTGTGAGGCAAGCCTGAGCTACAGGAGATCTTGATCTAAACCAGTGGTTCTCAACCTGCCTAATGCTGTGACTCTAATACAGTTCCTCATGATGTGGTGACCCCCAACTATGAAATTATTATCACTGCTACTTCATAAGTATAATTTTGTTACAGATATGAATTGTAATATAAATATCTATGTTTTCTGATGGTCTAAAGCCAGTCCTGTTATAGGTGGATTTGATATCCCAAAGGGAGCTGTGACACCCCCCCACCACCCAGGTTATAAACCATTGCACTAAACTGGTATAAATCAACAAATAAATAGCACTTACAAAAAAAATGAAATTCTTACACCAGGAAACATTGGCAAATAGAAATAAATAGAGATTAGAGCAGTAATGCATTTAAAGAAAATGAAATTTTAAAAATGATATCAATAATTGACACTTTAAAATGACAAAAATAGTTGGAAGACCACTTAGCTATAGTGACTTTGAAGCAGAGTAGGTTCTTCCCTGGTATTGAGAATGCCAGTAATAAGAGACTGTATGACTTTGTTCCATGTAAAATGTTTGCTTCTGAGTGCTGTGAGCTGACCCAGATTTACAGCCAATGGCCTGTGCCTCAAACCTCTCAGCTGACTTAACTGTGCCAATCACGATTACACATATCTGCACAGGAGAGTTCCCCGGTTGGAAACTGAATTCTCAGTAGTTCAATCTGTCCTCCCTAAATAGTACACCCACCAATTCTGCCTGTCTTCATTCACCTGGAAGGGATTAATACATGCTAGGAAATTACACAGAAAGTCACCCACCCTGCCCCATCAGGTCCTTCTTTATGATGGAGACCCTGCAGCTCACTGCCTTAACATCAGTCTGTGATCCAGCTATTGTCTAGTCTGTTTCCCCCAGCAGTGGACACAGGACACTGTTCCTCCTCTTTGTTCTGAAGGGAGAAGCTGTGCTCTACACACAAATCCTTTCCCCCTTACTGCAATGGACAGTCCACTGTGTCACTCAGACTGGTAATTGCAGAACTCTTTGGTGCTGCAGACTGGTAACCTGAGAATTTTAAGGTGGTTAGTAAGGAGGAAGGAAGGGCAATGCCCTGTGGGGCTACTGACAGCGTTCAAGTCCACCTCAATCAATGTTGGAGACCTTGACTCTAAACTGCTTTTCAAAAAGACTGGAGCTGCAGCTCTTCTAGAATTAATTCACCTTCATGGCACACCAGGACTTAATGTTGGTTGTGACCTTTTATTTTATTTTGTTTTTAATTATTTTTTATTTTTTTGGTTTTTCGAGACAGAGTTTCTCTGCGTAGCTTTGCACCTTTCCTGGAGCTCACTTGGTAGCCCAGGCTGGCCTCGAACTCACAGAGATCCGCCTGGCTCTGCCTCCCGAGTGCTGGGATTAAAGGTGTGCGCCACCACTGCCCGGCAGTTGTGGCCTTTTAATGTTCCTTGAGCAGCGTTGAGAGGCCTATTTTTAATGGAGGAATGGTCCTTTCTTCAGGTTGTAAATCAGGTTTGTCTCCTTTGTTATGGAAATGCAGCTTTAAATCTGGTTAATCCTGGTTAATGAATATTTCTATCTTACCATACTAACAGACAAAGTTAGCACATTACTTATCTTTGGGGTATTTGGTATGGAGCCCTCCCTTACCTACATTCTACTTTGTGACTTAATGTATCCTAAGAATGGGTAAATCCTTATTTTATCAATTCTATTATGATCAATTTTACACTTCTAAATCACAGTTGAGTAGTGGAGTGCTACTCTAAACCAGAGATACCATTTACAAGCTCCACAAAATTAACTCCAGATGGATCCTAAACCTAAATGTTAAATGTTAAAGATCCTACAGAGACCAGGGCTCTCTAAGTTTGGCAATTCTGCCTTCCATAGTGATAATCCAAGCACTACAGGTGATGTCCTTTCACAGTGATGTCAAAATCAAGGATCTTTCTAAGCACAGTCCTGCTCCCATTGCTCTGCATGGACACAGGCAGCAGAGGGAGGTTATTCAGAAGCTGCACCCTGTCCAAGGGAGTTGCAAGGACCACACAGGAGCAGCAGGAACATGCCAAACTCTTTGTCTAGCCACTGGCTCCCACCCAACCAGGGGAGGACCCACCACACCAGCTCCCTTGGCTTAGCTGGCTCACCCAGTCTGAAGACAGCAGCCCCTCACTCATCATGGCGAGCCACACCTCCTGACATGAGGACAGTGGTCCCTCACTCACCAAGGCCAGCCTCACCTCCCTATCTGTGGAGAGCAGGTCCTCACTCACCATGGTGCAGCTGTCAAGCTGACCTGCATTCTCCCCACGATGGAGGCCAAGACACAACACACAGGACAACGTCTGACTTCTCTAGGAGCTGAGCTGAGCTGGAAGCCTGGCTCCTGAAATGCCTCCTATCTGACTGGTGGGTCTGCTGGAGGCTCTGATTGGATACTGAGGCCCGAGTGACAGGACCAGTGAGCTGAAGTCACAAAGTACAGTAGTTTCCAGTCTTGGCTTCCAGTCTAAGGACAGACTTATGCCAGGCTGGCTGAAAGTTTGTGCCAAATTCAACAGCAAGTTACTTGTTAAGGTACACCAGTGGGGTCAGTTTTAAACGGTAGTGTACAAATTCAGAAGGAGGCAAATCAGACAATGTTGCATAAGAGGAACACAGAATAACTCGAGGACATTATAACAAAGTCCATAGTGGCCTTGGGACTGATAACCACAGGCCCATGTGTAGAAAGAGGTGGGTTCTCATGATCAGAAGCCACCCCCACCCCAAAGACCCTGGCCCCAGACATTTACCAGCTCTACAAAGCATATTCCCTGTTTTAGAGAAGGGGCTCTGTTTCTTTCTCAATACATCAGAGCCATAAAGAAGCCTTCCACGGCCTACACAGGTTGCCAAGTTCAAAGAGGGAGGCCTAGTTTTTAGTGTTTACCAGAAGTTCTGCACTTAGAACTTGACATTTAGATGTAAGATTCATT